CCCCAAAACCCCAAAACCCCAAAACCCCAAAACCCCGAAATATTCGAAAGTAATTGAAATATGGATATTTTTAAGTTTAGGAAAGGAATATGTGGGGGTTGTGAGTAGTTTTTGGGATCTTGAGAGGGGGTTTGGGGGATTTGTAGAGTCTGGAACAGCGGATAGGGACAGGTTGGGGGCTGATGAAGGATTTTTTATGAAGGATGTTGAAGAGTTTGCTTTTGGAGTAGGGATTGGGGTGGGATTTGGGAGGTGAGAGGGAGTAGATTGGGTTCTGATGGGATGTAAGATTGTTCTGGTTTTTGGATTTTGAGAAAACTATATGTTTGAAGCGAGTTTTGTACCTTTTCGTGAGACTTTTAGAGAGGGTTTATTGAGGTGTATTTTTGGTTCGTCGTCTGTATTGCTGGATACACTCAAATTTTCGCTGTTTAAATGGAATGATATATTCATAGATTTCAAATTTTCTCTATTTCTATTATTCTTGATTCTTTCGATAGATCCTATCTTCTTGCCTGAAGATAGTACCCCTAATGATTCGTCAATGGTTTTTCCAATAGGACCAAGCGACTGGTTAATTCTTTCTCCACTTCTATCATTATGATCTAAATCTCAGTTCTCAAAGCTTACATAGCTGAGTTTTAAGGTTCCTTTTATTATTTTCTTCTCCCTTTTCCATTAATCTGGCCATGGATATGTTTCTGCAACATAGAAATTTCCTTGAGGGAAGAATTTCTGAAGTGTTCTGCATCAATTTTTAACTGGGATAGCTTTGAACGAGGGTTTGGCTTCCTAGAATATCATTAAAGTAATTACCTCTCTTGGTGAATTTTCTTCATAATATTCAAAAACATTGAACCAATCAACTTTTTGTCAATCCTACTAAGTTAAGCACAAAAATATATTACCTATCATTAGCTTCTTGAACGGATCTGTTTAGGTTACTTCTTCTAGAGGGGAAATACATATCTTGAAGACTCAGCCTTAGCTTATCTATACTGATGATATCACTGACTTACTTGCTGAAGGACTTCCGGGTAGTGAGAGTCGATTCTGAGGGCTCTATGTAAGGTAAATGTAAATCTTTGAAGATTAATAACATTCTATTAGGAAATAGTTTATATACCTTTATTCTTTTCCTTGCATCCTTTCCTCTCTTCTGTCTCTTTCTGCAAACTTTCATATATTTCTGCTGATCAATTATGTTATCTTTAGTATGGTAAATATGGTTATAAACCCTCTCCCAGTTGCCTTTATGAGAGGGTTCTCTGAAAAATGGTTTGTCCTTGTCACCACCAAAGCTAATATATCCTTCCATCACGTTGTCAAAGTCGATCATGGATTTTCTATGAAAATAAGTCAAACCTTGGGCTGAAATTCTAATTTGAATTCAATAAAGTATGAAACTGGTTAAAATTATTTCTTTGTGACAAGTTACGAGAAATATGCTGAATAAAATTCATTATTTAATCACCGTACTTCTTTTGGGAAAAAGTACTGATCTCAGGCTGTAAAGAATCTCGGACTCCAATTGTTGTTTTCAAACTGTCTCTTGGTTTAAGTTTTGAACCTATGTTGGTGAGATAGTATTTTTAAACTTGTTTTTATCCAAAATTGTTAGTATAGACACGACAAAAATGTTAGTAAGAGAGAATCAAAGGAATTCTTGTAGCATTGCTGAGAAGGTGAAAGTATGATATTACAAAAGAAAATTTAAGTTTTTACACCACCTCTGGTTGATAATAATTTTTCTTTAAAATGTACATTAACCAAAAATCAAAAATATCTTTCTCCTTGTCAAAATTTAACTCTCTAAAATAGCTTATACTCCAAAATTTTATGATGCTTTCAAATTAGCTCTTCTATCAGCCATAGGCTAGCCTCATGATTGACTTCACCGTGAATACTTACTGTAATCAATGTTCTTCATTTTATGTAATAATTTTTATCTAATTCTCTATATTTCCTTTTAATCTTGGGGTTTTGGGGTTTTGGGGTTTTGGGGTTTTGGGGTTTTGGGGTTTTGGG